TCTCCATGTAGCCCTAGTTGGCCTGCTGGAGCTCAGTATGAGAGATCGAGGCTGCCCTCCATCTCACAGAGATCCACCTGCCTCTGCTTCGGAGTGCTGGGATTAAAGGCCTGTGCCACACCTGGCCCTTCAGCATTGTGTCAACTCCCCACCATAATAATTCCCTGAGCCTTCTTGAGTGATTAGCTGCAGGTGCATTCTCTACCATCCAGCCTTCTTCCACCTTCAACCAGCATCATCCCATCTGTCTGAGGAAGCCCTCCACCCAACTCCACCCCCTTTTAATTTTACTCTGTTGTGCAGGATGGCCTCAAACTCCTGGGTTCAGGCAATCCTCCTGCCTCAGTTCCCAAATAGCTGCCACTGCACCCAGCTAAGAAAAGCATTGTCTTAGCAGGTAACTCATTTATAAAAGAGCAGTAGGGCTGGAGAGATGGCCCAAGGGTTAAGAGCATTGGCTGCTCTTCCAGAGGTCCTAGGTTCAATTCCGAGAACCTGCACAGTGGCTAACAGCCACCCATAACTCCCAGGGGATTTGACACCCTCTTCTGGCCTCTGAGGGTTCTGTACAACACAAGTGCACTTACATGCAGGCAAAACATACACATAAAATAAAATATTTTTTTCTTTTTCTTTTTTTTTTTTTGTCTTTTTGAAACAGGGTCTCTCTGTAGCCCCAGCTGTCCTGGAACTCACTATATAGACCAGGCTGGCCTTGAACTCACAAAAATCCACCTGCCTCTGCCTCCTGAGTGCTGGGACTAAAGGTGTGCACCACACGCCCAGCTGTAAGATTTTTTTTTTTCTTTTAAAGAGTGGTAACCTCAGGCCGGGCATGGTGGTGCACACCTTTAGTCCCAGCACTTGGGAGGCAGAGACAGGTGATCTGTGTGAATTCAAGTCCAACCTGGTCTACATAGCAAATTCCAGGACAGCTGGGACTACAGGGAGACCCTGTCTCAAAAAGACAAAAATAAAATAAAGAGTTTAAAAAATATTTAAAATGAGCAGGAACAAGCCGGGAGTGGTGGCACACACCTTTAGTCCCAGCACTCAGGAGGCAGAGGCAGGAAAAAATGTTAACAGAAACAAGTCATGAGTCCCAAGCTCTTCTCTTTCGGTGGGGGTAAGGGAAACCCTGTCCAAAAAAAACAAAAAAAAAAAAAAAAAAAGCAGAAACCTCAGTGCCAAGTCAGCCCTTTGGTTGTGGGTTTTGGTTTCCAGAGCTTGTGGTCATAGGACTTGGTGTATGAGGAGGGTCCTCATTAGGTTTAAAATGCCCTGTGGATGTCGTGCTAATTTGTCATTATCTAGAATGTTGGGGATGGACAGCAATTTACATAGCCCTGTGTTCATACCACAGACAAAATGTCCTGGAACAATCCTGTGTCCCCAACCCTGTCAACAACCCAGCATTGACTGTTATTTCTGCAAACCTACTGAGCCAGCCCACTCAGTCAAGGGAAGATCTTGAGGTGCAGGAGGAGGGAGGCACTGTCCATTCTCTATGAAGGCTGACTGGTGTCATCACCTCTGAGTCACCTTCTTTCATTCAAGTCTCTGAGGAAGACTTAGCCAAGTAAGGTCTGCTTACCTCATCTTCCCTCTTGGGACAATAGCTTCTCAGATTCGAAATTAGGGCTCTAAGGGATGGGAGGTCCGGATTCTCAGGGACAGAAACAGGTTCCCAGACAGCATATACACAGGCATTGAGGGGAGAGCAAGATTCAAGGCTCTCTGGGCTTCCAGAACATCAGCAGATACAAACTTACTCATTTTGTTTTTTAGAAAAAAAAAATGGAGACACGTCCATGAAGTCATGAGGAGCCATCAGCTGACCCCACAAACTCCTGGGTGCTGCAGAACGTGAGACCTCCCCACCCTTACAGGACAGCTCAGGGTTTGAAAGCTGACTTGGTGCAGAGATCTTTGCACCCCCTCCCCCTCCCTCTGTTCTCTACCAATGGTGTTTGTACCAACAACTTCATCACATCTCAGGAGGTTCCAGAAAGTGACTCAGGGCTTGTAACTCCTTGATTCCTCTGCTTAGGATCTCAGCAAGCTAGCTCATTAATAATTTATGTTTTTTTAATATCATGCCTTGCATACCTGTGGGTCATGCACTGTCAGAAGCCTGGTTACCAGCATGTCCCCACCCTCCTTGAGAACCAGGGAAGTAGTTTATGAACACCCAGTCAAGCAAGCAACGGGAATTCCATTTTATTTTAAAGTAGATGGGCAAAGTTTTCAGACTCAGGCCATCTTTGCCAAGACTGCACCAACAGGATTCCAGAGGTGGGGATGGGGAGTGGAACAATTCAGATGCACATGACACAGGCTTTATCTGGGGAGAGTTAGGGTCCAAGCAGTGGGCACCAGCAAGCAGCATTTAGGCAGCAGGCAGCAGGCAGCAGGCAGCAGGCGGCAGCCGCAGCTGAGCGCTGTCCTTTCAGCACTCCCTTTGCTGTCTGTCTCCCGGCAACCTGCCTGCCCAGACTGCATCTCTGGTTTGGAAGCCTTGAAGGGTGGCTCCTCCTCCACCACCACTGGGCTACATGAAGCAGGCGCAGGAGTTGGACCATGGGCTCACACTGGCTGCTGCTATATCAAAGACCAACTTGTTCTTGCAAATCCCCTCTGCCCTCAAAGTCCTCCTATATGTCCCTTCCCATACAAAACTTGCCAGAAATGACTGGGGGTGTGGCTTAGTGGCAAAGTGTTTGCCTAACAAGCATAAGGACCTGGGTTCCATTCCCATCACTTTTTTTTGGATTTATTTTTATTTTATGTGTATGTGTTTATCGTGTGCACGTATACAAGTGCACCCATGTCATTCAATGCCAGTGGAGGACAGAAGAGGGTGTCAGATCCCCTGGAACTGGAGTTACCAATGGTTGTTAGCTACCATGTGGGTGTTAGGATTTGAACTCTGGCCCTCTGCAAGAACAGCTGGTGCTCTTAACTGCTGAGCCATCTCTCCAGCACCCCCTCATCACTTTTTTCAGTTAAAGCATTTAGCCAGGCATAGTGGCTCACCCATGTAATTTCAGCACTTGGGGGCTAAGACAGGAGGGTTGTCAAGAATTCAAGGCCAGCAAGACCCTGTCTCAAAAACAAAAACAAGGGGCTGGAGAGATGGCTCAGTGGTTAAGAGCACTGACTGCTCTTGCAGAGAACCCGAGTTCAATCCCCAGCACCCACATGGCAGCTATGAACCATCATTTACTCCAGTTTCAAGGGAATCCGAAGCCCTCTTCTGACCTCTGCGGCATTGCATGACATGGATGCACTCCCATACATGTAGGCAATACACTCATACACATAAAATAAAAATAATAAATAAAATTTTTTTAAAAGCAAGAAAAATCCATCCCGAGAATGTAGCTACCTACTTCCTGCCTGGGTCCCCCTGGACTTGTATCTGTTGTATCCACTGTCCTCAGAACCTGGCCCAAGTGAGGAGTCCATAAGCCATAGTTATTATGGCCACCCATGATAGAGACCCATCTGGATGGTCACTCCTCTGGGGAGCTACACAGTATACACACATACACACACACACAGCACACAGAGCAGCACAGGTCAAAGGAAGCCCAATGCTCCCTGGAAACCCACTGCCCTTCCCTCCAGATGATTTTGGGACTCTGGTCTCATAGGTGCCAAGCATAGGGAAATGAGTAGAAAGGACTCTCAACCTCTCTGGTCTGTACTGGTCAGGTTGTCAGCAGCCTTCAGGGAAGCCACAGAGAGTATACACAGGTAGCCGCCACCATCTGAAGCCCCTGCTAGGAAGCTTCACGCTCTCTGAACACCTGGCTATTACATGATGGCATTCACACCCAGGAGTTTGGCCACCCTCATTCTGACAGCAACACATGGAGAGGCTCCCCACCAAGGCCCTTCCCACACAGATCTCCTTCTGAGCATGGCCTCAGGAAGACAGAGCAGCTGCTGAGGGCCAGAAGGGAAAAAGCTTCCAGCCAGGAAATAAGACTCAATTTGGAGAAATGAGAAGAGACAGGTCCTCAGTCACTCAGGCCCGGCAGAGCTGTGATTGTCTTAATCCTATAATCTGGATGACAGGAAGTGCCTACTGAGGCAGAAAGCCCCCTCAAGTAATTTTCCAATATTTGGAAGAAGAGCTGTGTTGATCTTGCTCATGGGGGGGCAGTGAAGTGAGGAAGACTTAAATAATGAAAGTGTTGGGGTTTTTTAAAACAT